ATTTAGTTGTACTTTCAAGTTATTATGTCCTACTTTTCTTGTTTTCAATTTATATTTATTCTGCATTTGTTGAGTAAAAACATTTTGTATTGAATATATAATTAAAAAATATATAATTAGTTTTAAATTGAACATAAATTTAGTATTGAAACCCACGTACTCAATTTTTACATGATATAAGATCTCAAGTTTCATATTGAAAAATCTGTTATTAACTCACCTAATGGAACCCAAAATTGATATCGAAAGGCATATTAAGCCATGTGATAAAATCTAACATTTATAATAATTTTGCATGTGACAGGATTTATTGAATGAAAAAATCCCACATCGAATATATAACAATGAGAGTGTGTGTTGAATGGAAAATTTTCATATCGAATATATAATAAAAGAATACTGTCAATTAGTTTTAAATTGGATATAAGTCTTGTATTGAAATTCACATATTGTTTACACCATAAATTACAAAAATTTAAGATTATACCACGTGTCAAAAGTTTTTAAATGGATGGAGGACGTTTAGTCAAGTTAGATATACAATTCTAGGCTCCATGATATATTAGGTGCCACATGAAAAAGAAAAAGATAAAAAGATAAGATTTTATCTTTTAATTACCTTTTAAAGTCAAATTTGGTTGTTTTAGCTTAAATTTAAAAAGTGGTTTCAGTTATGGGTGTGTTATCAAATAATGGAACAAGTGGTGAAATTTGGAAGGAAATCTGACTCTGTTAACTGTTGAGGTGTCCCACTTATTCAAGAAACTATCAATAATTTGTGTAATTGCATAAAGTGGGAGGTTTGCAACTGGAGAAGAGGACAACAAAAGAGAAATTTTTTATCATTGAACACATGACCAGCCCTACACACAACTTGCAAATTTTTAGATTTTCAATTTCTCTATGATTGCTCACTTTTACTTACAGATTTTGAATTTCAGTCAAATTCACAATAGATTTAGGTTATTTTTCATTATTCCTATAATCAAATTTGCTCATGTATTCGCTTCAGCAATTTCATTCCATGTAGTGAACTTCAAGTTTTTGGATTTCTGCAAGGTACTATTTTTTTTTTACTGGAAATAATTTAATGTTTATAATAAGTAGTGTTTCATCAAATGATTATTTATATGACGTTTACGTTTTTTCTCAATTTCGAGCATATTAATTTAGTTTCTATTCGTATTTGTTTTAGTGTTAATTAAGGTTAAGTCTCCAAATTTGTAGTAGTTTAGTTTCCAAATCTGTCTGTAAATAACAGTTTTATCTAATAATGAACTTATCTAGTTTACTTTGGATACATTTTTATTTGCAAATTTATTTTAATTTACATGTCATTTAGCTTTTTTACGATTTGTTAATTTTGATTCACAGTAATGTTTAAGTCTTTGGAACTGTGTAAGGTAGATTTAGTAACTTAATTTGCAAAAAAACATTCCTCCTTCTTGAAAATCATCTGTAGGTGTATATTTTAATTTTAAACCAATATTTTTCTCACCATTAATAAGAAAGTAAACTATGAGAAATGAGAACGTCGTTGGGAAAATCTTTTTTTCTTATTTTTAGTAAAGTAAATGGTATGTTTACATTCAGATTTCGTACGAACGAATTCCGTACGAGCGAAACAATTTGAGGATTTTTGAGGAAATATATATATAAATTTCACAACACTAGACATTCAATTCAACGGCACTAACCCCGATCTTATTTAGGTCTTTTTTCTTATAAAAAATATTCTTTATTTTAAATTCTTTACATTTGTTGTGTAATTGCATGATAATCAATTGATTTATGTTTTAATTTGTTTTGTAAATTTACAATTTTATTGTATTAAACAAGATAAGATTAAATGTTGACATACCTAATATTCATATAGGGTATTTATATAGGGTATTTGACACTGGTATAGACCTAGTAAGTATAAATTTAAGAAACTTAAAAAAAAAAAAAAGAGAAAAAGAAAAAAGAAGAAGTTTCCCAATCAAATGCCAGATATGACTGATACAGTAGTGCATCTAAGAATATCGAAGTTCATAAATATCCGAGTCAGGAAAGAAGGAAATTCCCAGGATCATTAGGGTATTGTATAAACTTCTTGAATTTTTTCATTAGCTTGCATTTACTTTCTATCCATACAAGTATATATGAATTTATGAAATCAAGGGTTGTACGTAAGGGGAAGAGCGAGCCCGTGAATCGTTTGGAAACTCACTGATTATACAATAAGCAAGAAAAAAAAAATATATATATATATATATATGTATAAATTAATACATATCAATTTTAATTTTTTTAAAAATTAAAATTTTAATTTATGTTTAAAAATTGAAATCTCAATTTAAAATTTAAAAATTCAATTAATTTTTAGATCTAAATATTAATATTTAATAAGATAAAATTTTAAATTTTAAATTAAGTTTTAATTAAATAAATTCGTCTAAAGTTAAGATTTTAATTTTTTTTAAAAGTTGAAATTAATATATATTTCTTCCATATATGTATATGTGTATATATGAATTCATGATTCGAGAGATAATTTTTTAAAATTGTAAGTGCTATGTAGGATAATTTAGATTGCATAATTTTAATTATTAGATGAAAATAAATTTCTTAATATTGAGAGCTCTTTTCTTATTTAATGGTTTTTAATTTACCATTTAATGTATTTTAGATTACAAAACAAAAAATTCATTTTCAAATAAAAACTTTTTTATAAAAATAAAAAATTCTTTTAACATAAATAATTTCTTAACTATTGAAACATTTCATGGGAGAAGAAAATACTTACTTACTAAATAAAAAGTTATGTATAAAAAAGTTAAATTATATACAAAAATTATCCTTGATTCTTTTTCTAAAAAAAATTCACCATCACCTAAATACCTTGTGGATAATACCCTAATTACAAGGCCCATTTTCAGCCCATTTTCTATAAATGGTTAACCAACCAAATATTATGTTACAATCAACATTACAAGACCCGTTTTCACTCAGTAACAAATGGACAACAGTCCCTCAATATCAAAGTTTTCAAGATGAAGTAGAATTTCATTTGGCAAAGCCTAACCCACAGACGTGTCAAACTGTCAATCCAAAGAATATTCCAAAATTGGAACAGAAGAAAAATCAACTGCAAAATCAAAGAAGCCCATCATATAATTCTCCCGATCTCATGTTTTTCATACACATCAACGCCTCCTTTCCCTCCACAAATCTCGCAATTAGGAAATAAATGTTGACTCCCATAGATTTCGCTCTCTCCAAGTGGACTCTCTGCTTTTCCCAATGAATATTATTTGATGCAAAGAGAATTTATGAGCCCTTTTAACTTTGCTTTAAATGGAGAAATCGAAGAAAACATGGGGAGGTTGATTGAATTGATGGGTACAAAATGATTTTCTCCTCTCTTAAGTACTCCCACCTTGATTTCGTTGTTGGGTTTTCCAATGGAGTTCTTGTTCCAAAACATGCTTCGAGCTCTTGGCTTTTTCTGGGTTTTTGTCTCCAAATTCACGGTTTATGTGTTTGGAGCAATCATCAGATTCATGTCCAGGTATGGTAATCCGATCTTCTTTTTCTTGATTCTTTCTTACACAATTTTCGAATTGTTTTTTAATGTTAATGGTGGGCACTTTCCTTTTCTTCTTTTGTTTTTGCAGATTTCAGACTGATGGAGATTGTAAAGGGAATGAAATAGGTCCTCCTCCAAGGTTTAATGGGTTTAAGGAAAAACAGAGAATGGAATACGATGAGAATGAAAAAAGAGAACGAGAGAATGGTCTTGTGGCTACCAGTAGTAAGTATGAGTTCCTGTATACACTGGATATCAGGGAATTCGTTGAAGAACCAAAAACAGAAAGCTTTACCCTGCATGAGTTCTTCTTGGGTTCAAGTGATCCGACGGAATCTGCTGAAATTCACCTCCCAAAACCTGAATCGGGAACGGATGATGGCTTTGACGAGAAAATAGGGGATCCTGTTGACAGTTTTGTTCCAGGGAAAAGTTGGGAGAAACAAGAAAGTGATGCATGTGGTGTTTTAGAAGGAAAAACAGAGTACTCTGTTGAAGGGGAAGCAGGGGACTCTGTTGAGAGTTCTATTGAAAAACAAGAAATGGAAGCAAATATTCACGTCGACGAGAAAGAAGAGGACTCCATTGAGATTTCCATCATTGAAAAGAGACTAGAGAAACAAGAACCCAGAATAGAAGCAGCAGATGGTACAGAATGGGAGAGAATAGAGGCGTCTCTTCAGAGTTTAGAGAAACAAGAACATGATGAAAAAGAAGAAAGTGATGCTTTAGAAGTGAAAACAGGGGACTCTGTTCAAACTTCTTCGATTGAAATGAATTCAGATGATCAGGAAAATTTCTGTCTGCATGAATCTAATCTGAATGCCGAGACCGATAGCTCAAGAATGATTGATTGCAATTTAGAATTTGGAGATAGCGCAAAGGTCGAAAATACAGAGGAAATTCATTCATACAGTAGTGTTTCAGAGCAAACAGCAGAGTTGAAGTATTCATGTGTTGGACAGGAACATGCAAGCAATGAATCAGTAGTTTGTTCTGAAAAATTATTTGAGTCAGATTCCGATGAAGAAGATGATGATGATATGGAGTATGAGGAGCTGAAAATGCAACTGAGAATGGCTAGAACTGGGGGACTTCCTACTATTTCAGAAGAATCCGAGTTCTCAAAGACGGTGGAAGAACTTCATCCTCTCAAGATTGACGACAAGTTGGATCGCAAGGATCACATTGTAGAAATTCAAAAGGTCTACAAGCGCTACTCAGACAAAATGCGAAAATTGGACATCCTGAATTCCCAGACCAAGCATGCCATCAGTAAGTAACCAAATTAACATTGCTCTTTTTCTATTATTTAATTAATTGCTTCCTTTCAAGATTAATTACTTTAGCAATTGCGGGGGGTGGGGTTTGTCCTCCCAACCTAACTGTGAATAAAAAATTTACTGTCAATAAATATTAAAAACTTGGCTAAGCTTTTACTGGCATGGCCAATTCAGATTTGTACTTCTGAATGAATATTTGTAGTACTAATGGTGGACCATTCAATGTGTGGACTGGCACAATATTTATAGTGAAAGAGATCTTTTAGTGGTACCTTCGTTTCTATCTATGGCTAGGAAGTGTAGTCTTCACTGTGCCTGTGACAATAATTGCTGGCATGAATTATCAAGTCATTTCAGAGCCCATATGGACAGTTAACCAACTTTTTTTTTTTGTATGTTCCTAATTTATGCTGCCATATGGCTTTCCCATCTTTCATCATGCTGGAGATTTTTTTTCCCCGCAAAAAATATCTCTGGGTAGAATATAATTAGGTAGAATATAATTACTTGGTCGGTCTCCATTGTCTTTATGCCACCAGTATTCACCAAAAATTTGAGAATAAAGCTGCACCATTTCTTCTTCATTCATCAGATTCATGATGCTCCAATTTGGTGGAATGTCCATATCAGTATTCACTAGTCTTTAATGCTCTCGAACCCACCTTTCCATTTCCTTAATGTTCTCGAATAGGGTTTTAAACAAGTCTTAGTCCAATCAAGTATTGCAGTTGTTGTGATTGAGTTGCGCTCGTTTAGGAATCAAAACCTTTTTACATACATAATTTATAAAAGTTTTTTATTTACTAATATTAAACACAAAATCAAGTATTTAACTTTTTCTTTTAGTGAATGAGTCGAACTCACGTTAATTAACCTATTAATGGCACTAATCCTAACATCTACTTCACAAAGACTCATCCCCATAATCCATCTCTTATTAATGTATTAATGTGCTTTTTGATCATGTTTAGGTTTGCTTCAGCTGAGTGATCTGGTTCATCTGAATACAACTGGAAAACCTTCAGCTGCGCCGATCAAGTCTGTGCTACGGAAGAATATATGGCCATTCAAACAACGGAAGCCTGAGATTGATCGAGCAGTGAAGTTGATTAGGGACCTAGAAATAGTTTATGTTGGACAGATGTGCCTTTCCTGGGAAATACTCCGATGGCAACATGGAAAAGTACAACAGTTGCAGCAGTATGATACACAAGGAAGTTTTCGGTATAATCATGTAGCTGGAGAATATCAACTTTTTCAAGTGCTAGTACATAGATATTTAGAGAATGAACCGTTTCATGGCAGGCCTAGAGTTGAAAAATATGTGAAGAACCGATGCCTTATTCCAAATTTTCTGCAGGTTCCTGTTATTAAAGGTAATGGACTGGATTTATACCATTCATTGTTATGTAACTGAAAATTATTGTGTAACCAAAAGATTCTGTAACAGATGATCGTGCCGAAAATGGGAAAGGAGTAGGACAAGTAGAATTGGATGAACATGCAACATCAAGTGCATTGTTGATAGAAATAATGGAGGAATCAATGCAGGTGTTCTGGGAATTCCTTCGTGCAGACAAAGATGAGACCAATCTTAGCCTGAAGGCTCCTCCTCAGCAAAGACAAGTTGCTCCACAAGACCCTCTTGATTTGGGGATTTTGACGAATGTTAGAACAAATCTTCAGAAGGTATGTTTTCAGACATTTACTTGCTGATTTTTCAGAATATGAACTCTTTTTTTTTTTTTAACTCTAATTTTGATTTATATTCAGAAGGAGAGAAGGCTTAAAGAAATAATGCGAAGTACAAACTGCATAGTGAAGAGGCTGCAGAAGAATCAAAGGACTGCAATGGACCATGCCCTGTTTATCGTACAAGTGGAACTGAAACTGGTTTCAAGAGTTCTAAACATGTCTAAGCTGACCACAGATCATTTAGTCTGGTGTCATGAGAAGTTAGAAAAAATAAATTTTAGTAGTAGAAAATTAGAGATAAAGCCTTCTATGTTGCTCTTCCCTTGTTGAGATGATGATATGCTCGCTTAGTTGTAAACAAATTTCTGTACAAATTTGGGGAATATTTTGGTAAATAAATGGTTTTGGTCCTCACTTTTCTAATATGCTTCTTTTGAATCTTAGATGCTTTTGATGACACGTACAGCATGGAGTTTGAGAAAATACTTCTTTTTTTTTGTCCTGAAAGGCATCGTACCAATTAGGAGAACACATTTCATAATAAGAATTTCAAAAGTTGCATATACAAAGAATTTAATGGAATTTTCATTTTACATAGATAAGTTCATATACAATACATAAATATATTACATATTTAAACACACAATAAAATGATACTAAAATATATGAGAAATGATATATACACTCTCCATAGTTATACACTCTATTATATATTGATGGTTTCTATTATTTTTACCGTTAAAACTTATGGTTTTCATTATTTTTTAGTTAAAACTAACAGTATCTATCAATTTTAACGGCATATTAACGAAAATCATCAATGTGTAAAAGAGTGTATAACTTTTGGAAAGTATATGTATCAGTGTCCAAAATTTATACATAGTATATAGGCACACATCACATAAAAATATAACAAAGTACATATTTAAGATGCCCAAAGAGTTTAATCCTATCATTTAATGAGATTTATTTGAGCTCTAATTAAATTAGGAAAACAAGAGACCTTTTAGAAAAGAAGACTATAAGGGAGAAATTCTTCAATGTAAAGAGATACCAATATTTTCATTAAAAAAATAATTCAAGTACAACATTTTTGTATTACATTTTGATATAACTTTACATATAAGTTAAATGATTAGTTCTTTTTATTTATTTGAAACCTATAATATTGAATACATCTACTTATTAAATGATATGTGAAAGTTGTATAAAAAGATTGTTCCTATATCACTGCTCATTTTCATCCATTTGAAATAGTGAACAAAAGGCAAGAACCACAACCCATCATGGGCCAAAAGCCCTTATTGGCCTAACAACTCTTTGAATCAAAGTCCATGAGCTCTCAAAAGCTTAAGTTCAAATTGTCAATGGTGATTGATTTCCATATTTATATACTAGATTCAATCATAATTTCTCACTGGTGTGGGATTCAAGGTGTTACATCTAGAAGGATTTTTCGGAGGAGGTCATGTTAGGGTTAATTAGAGTTGGATGGAAGATCAATTACAGTTGTCAAACTTGAAGTAAATTAAGGAGTTCCTACTACAAGACATGGGAGAACTTAGACCTTAATGGATGGTTATGGAAAGTGGAGTGGTGATTTTTGAAATCATCTCCAGTAGCAAGATAAAACCATCTCTTTTGACAAAAATCAAAGTTTCAAGTTTATCCTTCTCAAAAAATCACTCAATGTGCATTAATTTCAATTCCATATCAATTTAGCCAATTATAAGCATAATTTCCAATTTGCAATTCAAAAGTTTGTTCTCGTTCAAAGCTTTAGTTTGAATCTTTTGTTTTGTTGGAGGTCTACCCCTCTCAAGAAATTTCCAAAATCAAGTAACTTGTAGCTAGTTTTCCCAAATTGAAACTTTAAAACCAAATCTTACTTTGTTTTCTTGGTTAGCTTTCATAATTTTATTCTAGTTCATGTAGTTTCTACGATTAGAGACCAGTTCTCACATTTTTATTTGTTGTATGTTCTTGGCCTTTTTAGGTTCTTCTCATGAACTCAATCTGCAAATATGCTAATATTAAATTCCAAATCTGTTATTGTAGTTGATTTGGGTTTTATAATTGTTTTTAAGTTATATGTTAATGCAAACATGTTTCCTTATGCTTCAAGACTCCTATTTACTTCCATATCTTCTTTTCATTTCTACTATCTAATTCGCAAGTAGGGTAATCTAGTTTGTAAGGTAGCTTTTCCGATACATTTGCAAATTTATTTTAGTTTGCAAGTATAGTTTATTAGTTTGCATAATTAGATTTGCTCTACAAGTATGATCCTTCCATCTATTCTACGAGTAGGTTAATTGAGTCTACAATATAGTTTTTCTAGTAGATTTGTTAATATACTTTCTATTTGCAAGTACAGATTTCCTTAATCTGAATAATTCTTAGTTAATGTTAAGGTTTGTCATTCCCTTATTCTAGTTTGCATTTTAAGTATAATCCATAGCATTTTTTTAACTTTCATCTTTCTTTTAGTTGTTATGCCTTTAGTTTCTTTTTAATTGTCTACGTTTTAGTTGTTATGTCTTTCGTCCTTGTTAACAAACACACATGATTAAACCTTGATGTGGGAAGTCTTGAATGATTTTCTATGGCATTATTTTTAACCCCTTTGTGTTGGAAAACATCTCTCCTTTCTGCCAATTGTCTGGCTTAGGGTGCATCACTTTATTAAGTTGATATCTTTCTAGCCATCCAACTCAGAGATTGATCGCTTAGAAGAATAAGGTTGTTAAGAAATTTTTTTTTTTTTTTTGCTTGCTTTTGATATAAAGCAAGTGGTACATTTAAGCACATTTGTCATGTGATAGCCAAACAAAAAGGATTTTGAGAGAAACACCTCGCTAAAAAAAACCTGCTTGATATAAGGGTGAGAATTGGATACGGGTATATACGTTACTCACAAGTATATTATCTATTTAGGTAAGTATTTATACCCAAATTGTGAGAAAAATGAGTGAGTGTTGGGTATAAAAAGAGCATACTTCTAAGTATTAAATCAAGTAATAAGTGTAGCAATTTAGATCTATTTACTAATTTGTTTAATCTATTTATTTTATGGACTTGTATAACCAATATTCTACCTATATATTATACTCAATAGTTAATAATTTAATATCCATATAATAAAAATAATTTTAAAAATAAAAAAAGTAAAAAATAGAAATAAAAATAAATGGTGAGTGATAACCCTAATAAAAAATAGTCTAACAATTGTAGTAGCAACTCGTTCAAGATTTCGAGGATTCTCTCCTTTCCCTTGCACTCTAAGGCCGATTATAAGTAGCCTAACTGATTTGCTTATTGTAATTCTCATTATTTACACTATTATATTTTTGACAATTTTCAACGGGTTTCAAATATTAACTTTCTTATTCAAATTTTCATGAGGAAAAAAAATGAAAAGGGAGGATATGAAACCAACTTTGGTTTATTATTATTATTATTTTGAATTATATTTAAGTCTGAATTGTAATAAATAATATTTTATTAAATTTTCATTAATTTTGTTTAAGTTTAGATCATAGTAAATGATATTTTAAGTATTAGATTTTAATTTGTATAAAAATTTAGAGCAAAATATGATTTAATAAGTATGTTAATATATCTGAAAATTACTCAATATCTGGTAAGTACTAATATAGACCTCCAAATAGTTATGTAAGTAACAAATTTAAAAAAAGTTATACCTAAAAGTAATTGTAATTAACA